ACTCTGTCCTCATGTTGTAACACAGCACTCATTTTCCTCACTTTATTCTGCTTGCTAAATATCTTTGTTCGTTGAAGACAATGCTGTTAGCTTTCACAGAGAGTAAAACTGGAGAGATAAAAAGAGCCCATTTTCCTCCACTGTGGGCACAACAATAAAAGAGAAGATGGAGAGGGGAAAATAAGAAACAGCATCCAAAACAGAAGAATTGTATAAGCGGGATTAGTTTTTCTTTCATGGAGAGTATAAGAAAGCATTTTCAGGACCTACTGATAGCTATGTATGCTCTGCTGTAAAATCCCTTCAGCTGCAAAACCAACCCTCTGATACCCTTGGTTTCACGAAACCAACTGCTGCTTTTTAAGAAAGGGCAAAGAAGGTGGGATACAAGTTTAGTAAATGCTATACTGCACATGAAAGAATGATTTTTGAACAGCAGTTTCTGAAGCACTTTCAGCAACACCAGTCTGCACCCCCAGAAAACCTTCCTGCAACTGAACTGGTTCAGCCTCAGAAGGCAAATGGGCATGCAGTGGAGGCAGGCAAGTAAAGAGGAGTTTTTGGAGAAACCAACGTCCCAGGAAAGCAGCAGGGCAGGGAGGGAGGGAAATGAGAGAAGAGGCAATCTGTCTAGGGAAAAGCAGTTAACTTATTTTATGGCACGTTGTATCTTCCAAACACAATGTAAGTATTTAATTATGCTATCAGCCCATGAGTAGAGGGATGTATTGCATCCACCCACTCATTTTAGCGATAGCCAAACTGAATTAGAATGGCTGCTTGCTAATTCTCCATAACTAGAAGCTGAGCGGTCCTAGGTCGTACTACTTTGGGGCTTTTCTCACAAGCTTCGGAGATGCTGCTGAAACCCAGTGGAGTCCTGATCTGCAGTGTGAAGCGCTGGGTCTGTTTCAGAGTTGCCAGCTCAGCACACACATGGCTTGTCCCAGTCTGTGTAGCTTATTTGGCTGTTCAAGGTCTAGTGCCGATCAATCTAAACCTCCCTTTAGATATGGTGCTTTTGTATCTCTTGAAGAGAAGGCAAAAATACACTGCCACCGGCACATGGGGAATGTTGATCTATGTTTGTACAGGGAGTGATTTACTTATTACATTGTTGTCTATAAGGGAGCATGCACATCATGTGAAGTTACCATATAGCTTTGTCTGTGTCGGCCTAATTTTCCCGCGGATGTTTTGTTTTGTTGCGTGCCTCATCTTGTGAAGTCTGCATCAGAACTCCAGTTAGATTTCCACAACAGTGCTCCTTTGAGCTTACTTGCATGGCATGGCAAAAGGGGAGGCAAAAGAAACCACGCATAAGCATTTCAAGTGCTCCTCAGATGGTCTTTTAAACCCTTTCGTACGTTGTGGTCTGGCTGCATCACGTCTGACTTCTTTCTCTTTCAGCTGCAGTCAGTGTGCATGCTGCCCAGCAGCAGCCTGTGGTCTGGAGTGTGTTTTCTGCAGGAATAGCCCCGTATGCAGCAAAAGATGAGCCTCACTCTGGCATTTCAGATGACAGTTTCCATGTCTCTGAGCAGATCTACACGTCACCCCAGTCCCTTCAAGAAGAAAGGTCCTACAGAAAACTCTGACCCCAGTAATTAGACCCTAATTCAATAGGGGGAAGGGAATTTAAGTCCTTCATAAATAAATAAATGCTAATTCTTGTTTCTGTGTGGCACATAATACAGTGCGACTTGGGCAGTTGAAATTGCTGCTGCCATGCAGATGTCCCTTCCTTAGGTCAGCTCTGACCCTTTCTCAGGCTCGATCTCAATTCCTTTTCTGACTGAGATTCAGTTCTGTATGCAGCTGTGGCTCTGGGACTTTCCAAAGCTGCTCTCTGGGAATCTGGCATACCAGCAGAATGCAATTCACTGCATGTGACCTCTTGCTAAAACAGAAAAAGGGGTTGCCTATCTGTTAAAGAAGTAAAAACCAAAAACAAGACAAAGCGGTACAACTCTCCCAGGTTTCTTTTAGTGCTTGGTAGGAGGAGGGTAATCAGATCTCAGAGAATGATGTGCCAGGAAGGAAATTTCTTCCCATGCACAGCATACAATCAGCCAGGTGCAATATGAGGAAGGGAGGTTCGTCTTCCACTGAAGCATGAGGTATTAGCCCCTGCCAGAGGCTGCGTACCAGAAATCTGATCAGATACGGCAAATTTTATGTTCCTATGCACAGTGTGAAGCTTTAATTTCTATGCAACACATTGTAGCAAGTCAAACAATGAGTCATCCCACGAGGGGGAAAAGGAAAGAAAGCTTTTATGTCCCATTGGATTGGAGATAATCTCTCTACTTGGGTATAAACAGCTCTTCACTGTGCTGCCTTCTCTCCAGGGAAAGGAAGCTATTTTAAATTTGTCTGTAAAACAGACAAATCTGCACACCTCCCAAGCCTCTCTGCCTGGGCACATAAGGTAACAGGCCAAAGGTCTTTGACTTTCATGGCAACTTGGTTGGGCCTCTGTGAGTAAACACAGTAGTCTAGGCTGTGGATGCTATACAAGCTGGCTGGGAGAAAGGGAGTGCCGGATTCTCCTTGGAGCTCTGGAAAATCTGTGCCCAAACCAAACATACCTGCTATTTTACTATAAAATGGCATACCACCCTTATATGGACAGAGTTACACTGATAATATTTTATTGCTGTACAGGAAGCAGAAGCTCAAGCAGTGCTAAAGGTGCCACAGCCTCCGTGCTTATTTTCCTCTCCCGTGTGGGACTACCATCAGCTAGTGTGGCGGCATCTGCAGGAGGGGTGGGCCAGTCTGAATATACCTTTCTCAACCATAGCTGCACTGATAACCACTTATAGACACACTGTCACAGAAGCTGTGTGAAGCAGCCCTTCTTTACAGACCCCAGCCACCATGGTCATAGCTCTCTTTCATTTGTCTGCTTTTCGTTATTCTTGATTGATGACTTTACAAGAGGCATGAAGAGAGAGCACGCCTCTCTTCTGTGAAAGGATACACACCAAGGATGGATGAGGCCAAGGACTTTGCCTCCTGCCTGCTCTGTACCTCGGAAGAAACAGATGGAGGAAAATCCCATTTCACAGTGGAAATCAAATGAAATAACGTTCTAGAAGGTTTTTTCAGAATACTGAGGCATTTCTCAGCATGTCACAGATAAGCCAAGGTACCTAAGCTAATGAGGTATTTCACAGTCCAGTGCTTAGAGTAATTCTGCATCAACGTGACGTTCCTCTCCTATACCTTCCCGTGAGACTTTGCACATCATGGTGTGCAGAGAAAGGGGGACTCACTGATGTTTGCCTATATTCCTACGCCTTGTCTCAATTTGGTGACACAATCATGGTCTCTTCCTGCCACAGGTTTGCAGCCCGTTTACTGGAGCAGGGATGATGTGGCACAGTGGCTCAGGTGGGCGGAGAAGGAGTTTTCCTTGAGGCCGATTGAGAGCAACACTTTTGAGATGAACGGCAAGGCTCTGCTGCTCCTGACCAAAGAGGACTTTCGATACAGGTCTCCTCATTCAGGTGAGGATTGCTTACAGAAGCTGTGATTGAAAAGAGAGAGGGAGCTGTAGGAAAAAGAGAAGGCAGCAAGTCACATTTGTTGGGGTGGACTGGGCAAGAAAGAGAGGACAGAGACACTTGTATGAGGCAAGGACGAAAAGGACAAAGAGGGAATTAAATTCTGATAAACCTAAGTTGTAGGCAAATTTGAATGCAAATCAAAAGCCAAACCCAAACATCCAACTTGTTTCTAGTTAAAACTCCCTGCAGAACTCCCAGAAAGCAAGCTTCTCTGGCACCACTTCTTGACTTCCAGCTCTTCCCTGTAAAGACTTATCTTTTCACAGACCCAATTACAGTAGCAAGTTGATCAAGTGGTCCAGCGTCTCAAAAAGACCATATTAGTATTCTGCCTCACAGTTGGCTTGGCTGACATGCCACTAAAAGTGACTGCAAAACTTCTCCCTGGGGGACGTTTCCTCTATTTCAGAGCCCCTGTGGGCTTTGCTTGACTTTAACATATTCTCTCACGTGCTGGAGTCCAGCCCAAGGCACAGCACAGAAAAGTGTGTCAATCAGTCTGCCTATTGCTCAAATTATGTCTTCACTTATTCATAAAGAAGATTTAGAAAAGTGTATATTGCCTGCCTGTATTTATATCCCCTCTGGTGTGTCTGCTCCAGTTTTACAGTTGTAGTAAGCCTCTGCCCTCCTTTGTCAGGGATGTTTAACTAAATGTGAGTTACTGGTTCTAAATAAGAGTTGTTAGCTTTTCTTTTGTGACCATACAAGGTACTCCTGTTAAATATAAAGGATTGTAATTCAATCACCATAGGTGATCAAAGAGTTTGGACCAAGTGGTGACAGAATTGCTGTGAGTAGGCTTCCAGTGCAAGGCTCACCAGGTAGAGAAGTACAGCTGGTGCTGCTTGGATCCAGCTGTTAAACAAGCCGTGGCACTAATTCTGCGTCAAGCTTCTTGGCAACTCCCTTGAATGCACCCCCACAACTGTCCTCCTGAAGAATCTGCCGCACAAACTGTGGCTTGTGTTTAGTGTATACAAAGTTTTTTAAGCATGTGCTTCCAATCCAGGACTAATTTTATATGGAAGGAGATGCCAGACATTAATGTCTATTACCAGCATAATACAGTAGTGAAAACCAATGCCTAGAAATGTCTTTTTGTTAATTCCTGTACACCACTTTGAATCATTTAATTAAAAAATTAGCCCAGCTTAAGACAAAAGGAGTACTGAAAGTGGGGATGTGGACAAGGACCGTCAGGGACACCTTTGTGTGTCTTGTCTGCAACTCCCCTTCTTATCCCAATGCCTTGCTGCCTACATGTTGTGCCCCTGCTCTTCCCCTTGTGTTCTGTGAGGGCACTTGAAATGAGTAGGATTAAAATGTTTGTAGGAATAGAGATAGAATGTTCCCAAAGAAGAGCCTCTGGCTTGCGAATCCTCACTTTATGCAGAAGGTTAAGCTCTTACTTACCTACATTTGGGATTAAATAACCAAACTAAAGGCCTCCTCCCTCACTTTTTCTCTCCTTCTCTCAAGGCATTCCCCACTGATAATAAACATTTTAGAGGATAGCTGAGTCAGTCCCTAAAAATTTTGGTGATTGTAGGTAAAGGGACATTACCTCAGTATTGCCCAGAAATTAACTGTACGTGAAATCTAAGAACTATGAAATAACGTTTGCCATAGAGACATTAAGTTTTTCAAGAGTGTAGCTGCATAAAAGCTGTATCTGTTCCCCTCATGGTTAAACCAGGAGAACCACATCCACTCCCCCCAGCGGTCCGAGCAATAAAGTGAGCTCACAGCCCCACAGCTATTCTACTAAGGGCTGGCCAGGGAGGGGAGGCAGCAGAGGAGGGAGAGAGTGAAAAAACGCTTTCACCTTCTTAACTAGCATTACTGTGTCTGGGTGGTTGCAGAAGCATAACTGGTTTGTTAGGTAAAAAAAAAAAAAAAAAAAACCAAACCAACAACAAACCAAAAAACCAGCCAGCTTTATGGACATTTTCACTAGTCTGTCAGGCCAAATCAAAAGAGGTACAAATTTGCTACCTTATTGCTTGGAGTGTTACAGCACTAGTTATGATTATGCCGCTATCGCATTCCAAGATGCAAATGATATGGTAAAATCACTTTTTAGCCTTTGACATACTAAAGATGGAAAAGGTAACAGGGTTCTCAAGGCTTTGTTTTTAATTAGATTTTCAGGTATTGCAATCACCTTTTAAAAATGCCCTAAAGTCACTGCTGAGACAGTAAAAGAAGCCAAGATGCTAAAAATAAAGGAAGCAGAACGTGGAAAGCAGGATGACTTTAACTGTTTCACGCTAAGACACTAAACTTGCCCACAAATAGACCATTGGCAGTTTACAGAGACAAGGGACAAATGACATACAGCTTACAATCTCATAGAAAAAACTACTAGAAAAAACACACACACTTGAGAAAACTCTCCCAGAAAATCCAAAATTTCCTAAGTGAAACTTCACTAAGATCCTTTTCAGATAATATGTTACTGCTGCACCCTGTTCCTCTGCAATATGAGCAGTGACAAACAGAAGAAAGCAAGCAGAGGTAAAAGTCGAGAGACTTCCTACCTTGTGTTGTACATTTTCACTTTGAAATGTGCAACCAGTTACATCAGACAAAATGTCTTAAGTACCTAGGTGGTTCATGTAGATGTTCTTGGAGGAAGGGCATCAGTACAAGATGCAATACATAAAAAGACACAAAATAAGCAGTTAGTTCGTTCATTTCCTAGACATTGTGGTGATATGTTCCACCGAGGAAAGATATAACAATTCTGGTGCCAGGGAATAGGGGGAAAGGAAGGAACAGCCTGCCTACACTCCAAAAAGGAACGAGCATCTGGATCGATTCACACAAGAACGTGTCAGCTTGGTGCAGTCTAGTTCGCTGCAGACATTTTTGTGGAAGAGTGATACAATAGCAACTGACAGACTATATTCACCCATACAGAGCACCAAGTCCTTCACATTTTATTCCTTAGCCTGCACCACATCCGTGGTCTAATATTGCCTGTTAGAGTGAGCTCCATACAGATTCTAGTAGCTAGAAATAGCTACCTTTGGGATCCCATTTGGGCTTTTCAGGAGTCCAGCCTGTGACACCAAGAGTGATGTGCAGAAGTTCCTAAGGCACCTGTAGCACTTCAGTGTCTCCAGGAGTTGTCACTGCAGCAGTGTTCAGGGTAGTTAAATGTCTCAATTCTTTTCAAGTCTTTGAGTCCATCCCAAAGTAACTTCTCAAAGTGAGAGTTCTTCCTCCTGTGGATTTCCTAGAATGAAGTATCTCAGTAGCACCCTGCTACTGGCCTTGAGGCACAAGTCTTGCATGGAGGCACTTTACAGCATCTTCTATCTCCTGCCCCCATAAAAGCTTAAATTGTTCAGTAGTTAAAGAAGAGCAGCATCTTTGCTCCCAGCAACTCACTGCATAAATCATGGGCTCTACATTTAAGAATTCTGTGTCTTAAGGTGTCTGTCTAAAAAACTGAGGTTGTGATGAGAGAAGGTGGGACCACTGAACTACTGCTTGTAAGGTTTGGAGCTCTTGGATGGGCAGTCATGTAGCCTGAAAAAACTCTATATTGGGGTAATAAAAGCCATGTCTTGTCATTCTTGTCACTGATCTTTAAGGTCCTTTCCAGCCCTAACCATTCTGTGATTCTGTGATTCACCCATTTTTCTACAGTCACACACAGAGGCATGATGTGGAGCTTTTCTTCTTTTTTTTCCTTTCAGGAAAGAACCTTGCAAAATAGTGAAATGTAGGATTTCACTGCAAGTTTTTTTTGGTATGAAAATAGCACCCAGGAGCCATGAATTCATGCATCAGATGGCTAAATGAGTCTTCTCAGCAGTATGTAGGTTTTCATTTCCTTTTTCCTGCTGTTTGTATTTCAGGTGATGTTTTGTATGAACTCCTTCAGCATATCCTGAAGCAAAGGAAAGCTCGTATGCTCTTCACACCTTTCTTCCACCCTGGCAACTCTATCCATGCTCAGCCTGAGGTCATATTACACCAGAATCATGATGAAGGTAACTCTGTCTCATTCTTATGGGAGCTACCATTATAGAGGCAAGTAGGGTAAGGATGGTGAGGAATTATGTAATTTTCTTGCTCCAAAGTTACTTAAATAAAGCTACTCTCAACTGTCCATTCTGCATTTATCTTCTATTCTTTTGTCCTGTTTACAATGTGTGCTTAAAAGCTGTGCCAGATGCAGATTAAAAAAAAAATCAGAAAGTTTTATTGACCCTATCAATTCATTTTTCCTCACTCCCAATTGGGTAGATAAAGATGCTTCATGGACTTTTAGTATCCTGGAGATGCAACTAGTTGCAATTGTTTGCCGAGTAAGGGAGAAGGCAGCCTCAGAGAGGAACATCTAACTCAAAATCACTTCAACTGACAATCTGTCATCGCATCATACCAGAATTCCTAGCACTGTTGCTCAGCTTTTGAGCTGATTGAACAATTCATGTTGCAAGAAGGTTTTTTATGCAGGTTTTTTCTCATTTTTACTATCAGAATTACTTGCTTAGGTTATTAGTTAGCCTTCTAGTAGTGTCCACACATACCGTGCCTGTCAGAGGTGGTGAATAGAGAGTAGATAAGTTTGTGGAATTCTAGATTTGGGCTTCTTCTGAACATTGTTAGTACTGATCAAAATGTAAGTCTGCTTCCTTCAATGGAAAATTGAGGTTAGATTTTCTTTAAAAATATACACAGTAAAGTCCTTCTTGATTTTCTCCAATAACAGAAAAATATAAAGCCTAAGCCTTTTAAAAGGTCCCTTCCGTGAAAGTATGAGGCAGAATTCACTTTATCAATTTAAAAAAAAAATCTAGGAAAAAGTAGTGTTATTTCTTTTTTAAGTAAGCAGGAGAAGAGAACAGAAGTGAGTTAGGGTATCACCCTTGTCTCTGCTAACTGGAGAAAACATGAACAAACTCTTTCAAGATTTAATGTGGAATTGCAAGACAATATTCAGGGGTACTGTCAGACCTGTACAAGTTGCCCATGGCCAGCCTGAGCAAGCCAGAATTGAACAGCACTAGCAAAACTCTGACACTAAGCCAAGAACAGGACAGCAGCAGGTGGGATAAGGACACTGCAAAGTGTTTCCACACAGCTGTGTAAATATTTCAGTTTAGAAGAGGGTGCTACAAGTCAGGATGAGGTTGAATTGACAGAGTTGTGCAAGAGATAGTTGCCTAGTGTATTAAGATAGGCACTTTGCAGAGACCTTTATTAAGATCTCAAGTTTTTTCCTGAAGCTTAGCATTCATCCATAAGTGTTCCCTTTTAAAATTTCAAACAGAAATACTAATTGCACTTTCAGACACACCTACATTGAAGATATGGAGCAACTTTCGCTCTAGAGAGGATTTCACAGGGATGATGAATTGACCTTTCATGTGTGTCACTTAAAACATTAAGTCCTTTGCAATCCAGTCCAACTTCTGTCAGAGCATGGAATGATTAAGAAACAACTTTGATTTCTTCCTTACAATACCCTGGCTGCTGATGGTACCACTGTTTTTGCATGGAGAACTCTGTGCTATTACCTAAAACTTTTCTTTGTAATGACAAAAATTAGTTCTTGTTTTGCTGTGAGAGGAACTTCAAAACAAGCAAAAGAAACTACAGCTTGCTTGCCACAAGACTCCGAGCAATCAGAAAATCTCTATGCCAAGAACTTATAGGCAGATGAATTTCTTTATTTATTTATTTATTTTGACATTACTTCTTTCTTCTTCCTGTTTCACAGAGTCACTTAGGAGAAACTAGCACAATTAAGTTTGCCTTTTCCCTCAGCAGAATGCAACTTAGTGAAAAGGAGAATGAATGTGAAATGCAGAACTTAACCCTGCCTAACTCACAAACTGTAACAGGGGGGTCAAGTGTTACTTTGGCACAATTTTGAGTGGTTGAACTTCACAGATTATGGATCTTTTTTGGAATCCCTCCTTACTCCAGTGATCTTTTTCCATTTTCTTCTACTGGCTCTTTTTCCCATTTCCTAACAGATTATGTACTTATGATCCTGCTTCTGAATGCTTTCATATTAAATCAGTTAATCCAGAATCAGATGAGACCAATATTTACATCTAGTGGCTTTTTACTAGCTTAAGCAAAGTGGGTTTGAGGGTTTAAGTCAGTTGACAGTGATTCAGGATATCTCCAAGATGCATTAGCATTGGCTTGGAATCTGCCCTGTGGGCATTGGTCTCTGTCTCTGTAGAGGGATGAGCAATGGAAAGTGAAAAATTACCTACCTCTCCAGTGGTCCTTCTGACTCAGCACTGAGTCATTTGATGGGATGCCGGACAGGAAGCTTGCACTGTCATTCCCTGCACTTCTTCTATGGGTAAGCAAAGAGTTCCCATCTTTGGGATTGTCACACCAGCAATTGCTCACTCCCAGAGTGAGTGCAGCCTCACCCATCCCTATATGGATCAGATAGGTCAGCGATTTTCCTGGGAGCTGAATTCCCTTTCACAGCTTTCCCTTCAAGAAAAAAGTGTGGGTCACTCAGAATGAAGAGCCAGACTGATGAGTGAATCTATTCCTGCAGGAAATTATATACTGTATGTGCTCAGCTTATAGTCATCAGATGCCAAGGAATGAATGTGATGAGGATTTTATTCTGTTCAGGCTCATTCATGGCAGTGGAACTGCTTAGAGCTGAGTTTGAATTGTTTTATGGTAAACAGCAACTGCGGCCATGAGGGAATTCTTTAGTTATATATTTAAAGAGAAAGATCTTGGAGGAAAGTGAACACTAGTGTGTATCCATTTGTGGTTTTCCCTCTTGCTGCTTTTTAAACAGTTCCTTGGTCCCTAACTTCTCTCCACCCTGTCCTGGTTCAGGATCACCATGGTTCCGGAACAGACACATAGGTCTGCTTCTGTTTGGGGATTGTCAGAGCCAACTATGTTTGCAGAGAGTTTGGTGAAAAGCAGAGCAAGGCATTTCCATTGCTCCCCACAGCCAGGGCACTTTAAATAAGTAGGACAAACAATCCAGTATTCTGGTCTATATTTACACGCCAAGAATGAGCACAGTGCATTTGGTGATGGAGGTGGATGGTCTGTAGAAGATAGGATGCTGAGTAGAAACTGGGGGGTTGGTTTTCTTTCTGTTGTGTCGAAGAAAAGCTTTATGAAAAGACAGCCACAGAGGTAGGTACAGTTATAAATTAATTCCTCTTTGATCTTCATATCATTTGGGCTATCGCACATTAGCTGGCCACATTGTATTTAAAGCTATTTGGGTTTAAACAAGGACAATATATAGATCTGGAGTTTCATGTCCTCCAGCTGTTTCGTTGTGTGTACCTTAAATAGCTCTACGAATGCATTTTTTCTTGTCTGGGACCACAAGTGTGTGAAATAAGAACCATGTAGTTTCTGCCTAAAATTTCAGGTTTTCCTGTAGACTTTAGTGTCCTTGTATAGATGAACAGCCCATTGAGTAGGCAAAAGGGTTGGTGCTATGCCACTGCCTGCCACTGTATTTTCTCAGGACTAGAGCTCTTCCTGTTCAGGCCTTTCCCTGGGTAAGTGCTGATCCCTCTCCTGATGCCTGCCTGGGTTCCAGGGCAGCCGGAGCCCCTGGGTCTTCACCTCGATAGGGTCTTCACCTCGATAGGGTCTTCAGCGAATATCACTGACTTGATAAGAGAGCAAGAGAATCATTAAAGAGGATCCGAGCAAGTGGAGTAAACAGACAGCCACAAATAGGCAGATACTTGTTTCAGTTGTTGACAGGTACCCAGCAGTTTCCTTCTCTTATCATCCAAGGCTTTCAACAAGTGGCAGTGAAATTTGATCTTTGTTTTTCAGATAAAAACCTGTTAGTGACTGCGCTCTGGTGGTGTTTTCCTCTTTGTCAGTAATTTCCCAAATCAAAATTAATGTCCGTAGCTAAGCTGAAAGTTTGCACTGTTTATTTCAAGCATTTCATTTTGTGAGAGGATTGTTACTACGTAAAGACACTGACCTAGAGCCGTGATTTATCTCCCCCCTCCTGTTAACTGGGGAAGTATGCTCATGCAAAAGTGATGCTAAAAGTCCTCCTGATGAAGGAGTAAGTGCTTATATGGGACAAGCCATCAGTAGACAGCACAGACTAAATAAAACAAGATGAAAATACCCTTATAAAAATGTTACATGCTCTTAAAATCAAGGTAGGGATAAAGTTTAGCTAGTGATTCACAAGGAGCTTCCTACCAGTGGGCTTTTTTAGATAACCCAGTCTGTATTTCGAACTAAGATATTCTCTACCATGACCCAAGCCTCTACCATCTAAAACTTACTACCTAATATTTTCCCGGAGACATTTTCCCTCTTTATTTCTACCTTACGGAGCTCATCTTGGTACAATAACAGGAACCACATGTAGAGACATGACTGGCAGGAGATAAGTTTCAGAGCATTTGCACAGAAACACAGTTAGTACAGCTGAATCAGATCTTACTTTCTTCATGTGTGTTCCAGTCAGCTTCTCAAAATGGGATTTCTCTTAACACGTTTCCTCAGGAACTACAGTTACATGGTGGTGGAGGGAGATTGTTTTCATGGTGCTGATTTCGTTCTTTGTGGTAATAATTATCTTCGTTTATATGGTATTTTTCTGGACATCTGTGGGTCACACAAATAAAAAACATTTCCAAGCTGAGAGCAGTACCCAGTAAGCCCAGCTAGCAGTTTGACAGTTAGATCCTACACCTTGATCACTATATAAACAGTCTCTTTTTTTTCTCCACAGATAGCTTTGTCCAGAGACCTTCAAGACCATCCACAGAAACAGTCCACCACAACCCCCCAACCATTGAACTCTTGCATCGTTCTAGATCACCCATTACCAACAACCACCGTCCATCACCAGATCCCGATCAGCGGCCACTGAAGTCCCCTATGGACAACACTATCCGTCGCCTCTCCCCAGCTGACAGGGTGCCGGGGACAAGGCATCAGCAAGAGAACAACCACCAGGAGCCCTATCCTCTTTCAGTGTCCCCAGTAGAAAACAACCACTGCCCGCCTCCTTCTGAGGTGCTCCAGAAGCCCTCCAGTCCTCGCCAGGAGAACACCAGGGTCATCCAGCTGATGCCCAGCCCCATCATGCATCCTTTGATACTGAACCCCAGGCACTCCGATTTCAAACCACCAAGGTTGTCTGAGGATGGGCTGCACAGGGAGGTAAAGCCAATCAACCTGTCCCACCGAGAAGAGTTAGCTTATATGAACCACATCATGGTGTCTGTATCCCCTCCTGAGGACCATGCAATGCCAATTGGAAGAATAGCAGGTAAGTCACGTTCTCTAGGCTACACCAAAGCTGACACTCTTCATTCATAACTAATGATGCTGTGTATTAAGAGCTTCTCGTTTCCTTTTGCTACTCTGTGACCTCAAGAGTTTACTGGCATTCTGCAAGTTTCACCACATCTGTGGTTTAGACAGTTAAATATGATTAAGCCAGTTTCATGGCAGGTAAGCAAAGGTGCAGAGTGACTTGCTTGTGACCACAGAATGCGTAATTGGTATTGAAACATTTGTGTCCTGACACTCACTGCCTCTCTACCCGCTAGCAATCCATTTGTTTCCCAAGATCACAGAATCACAGAATCACAGATGCATATCTCCAAAGACTCGTTCTGCAAAGAGGTAATTTTCCAAGAGTTGTATTCACGTTAGTGTCCAGTCCTATGGAAAGGAAAAAACCCTCTGTCAGTGGCCTTTGAAATAATGCAGTGTCAAGCCTGCTATTAAGGAGGTGGCGGGACTAATGAAATACCACCTTGGAGTCCTACTTTGCAGGCTTTCCTGTGCTTCTCGCACTAGGATTGTCCCTTCTTACAGAAACAAGGTTGCCTTTGTCCCACGCAAACCACAGGCGTTGTCTCACTTTTGTTATCGTAAATAACTGACATCACAACAGCCGAATCAGGAAGCTGAGGTTAAAGAAAATGTTTTTTGTACTTGAAAGGGAACTGTAAATAGATAGGGAGAGAGGGAAGAGGAATACAACCACTTCAGAAATATGCTGAATGCCCCAGTAACCAATTTCTTTTGAGAGATGTAAATACACACCACACCCAAAAACATTCCATGTATTTATGTCAGAAGCGAGCTAACATGATACCCAGCTCCTGTGGGGTATTACACATGTCCACAGAGGTACGTTTTAAAACATCTTGTTCTTTTCTGTCCTTACATGCCTTAAATTTGTTACAGATGTGGTGCTGCCTCAACTTTGATGAGGAAGATTTTCTATTTTCTTAAGACTTACTACTTTAAATTTATAAGGTACATATCTCACCATCTAGTCAAACATCAAGCTCAACAAGGGCCATGATCCTTTCAGGGAATAGAGGGATGGGTTACAGAAATTAATCTTTTGACATTTTTGCCTTGCTGACATTTGTCTCTCTCCTTTTGATTTTTATTACCCACACTATTCTCCACAAGTTAAGAAATATGCTTAATGTTATGGCAGAGAAGATTGTATCAGTTTACTGGTTTGCATCACTGGAGATTTCCTTTCTATAAAGTACTATGGGAAGATTAGGGGGTTGTTGATTTTTATTTTTCAGAAGGAAACGTTCCCTAAGAATGAAGCCTAGACTGAAAAGAATATAAGAAAAAAATATGGGGAGTGGGTGGTGGTGTAATTTTTTAATTTAAACACAGGAGTTTTCTTATATAATTTGGGACTCTTTGGGTTCTGCACATTGTGAACTGGGTCCAGTGGCACCAGTCCTGTAACTAGTACTCCCACATCCTTTCCATCCCTATGTTGTTTGCAGGGCAACAGAGCCCAAGCCCATGGATATTTGGCCCTAATACGGTTGCTTGGCAAATATATGTGCCAGTTTAAAGTGTTATACACAGGCTATATTTGCATGCTTAGCTGCTTTCACTTGCAGTCTTGGGGCTTTGCTTAGACCCACCAGCATGGGTGGCATGTCTTAAAGAGCTGGTGAAGTATTTAATGCCAAAGAGACCTGTGGTCTGCTCAAGCATTCGGTTCAGATGAGGGCAGACCCTATAAAAGCCAAGGGTCAGGAATTACATAGCTGATGGTTGCTAGCATCTTAGATTTCTACTGATAAATTTGCCAGTGTACTGCCATCAGTATCCCATGTCCTTTAATTGTAAATGCCAACAAGCCTCACTTGCTCTACAGGCACAAGCTAGTGCTGTTCTGGTTGGGTTGTAATGGCTCCTGAACTGTAGCTGGATCTTGTAAAGGGCTCACAGCCAGTTTAAAGGTGACAAAACCCAGATAACTACCAAAAATATAGACAGCCCATGTTTCATACCTGAAGTCAACTTTATTGGTGCTACTGAATTCAATGGCAGCATACTTAGGCTCCCTAGAAAGAAAGTACACACCTTTCTACCTGCTTTCTCCCATCTCACAGCCCTCAGTTTAGAGCTCTTGCCATTAACGTATTTCATTTTAAGATAATTTCTTTTTTATGTGAGCATAAATCTGAGTGTCCTTATCTTCACTGACACTGCTGTAGTTAACATGGAGGCTTTTGACCAACCATGTCTCGCCACTTTGATTTGAGAGAGACCATGGAAATTATAACACTTGGCTCTTAAACTGCAAATATACATCAATACCGACGTATTGTTAAAAAGAGCTTTTTAAAAATCACTGGCATTATTTCCATTTTATGGATGAAGAAGACTGATGGGTTGGGTAATGAAAAAATTTAGCGATAGTCCAGTGCTAGAGCTAAGTACTTACCTGTTCACATAGGTGAGAAGAGAGACTTGACTTCATCCTGGCTTAACCCTTTTCATGCGGGTGATTTTCAGGGGAGATAGCGATGAAGAGCGGCTACCAGGGAAGCCCCGTGGGCTGCTGACTAAAACATTGGGCTGAGCTCCAAAACATGTTCTATTCCCAGCTCAGATATTTTCAATTGTTAAAGGAATTCTTCCTGGACTTAAGATACCTCACAGTCTCATAAACCTGTTTACTGGTAGATAGAGTCTGTTTTTAAATGCAGAGTGCAATTACTTGGTGCTGAGAAAGAAAACAATGTTTTTACTTGCTGCTATCCACAAATACTCTGTTTTCAGGAGGTCGATCAATAGAGCTCTGGACTTCCTGTCAGACAAAATAATGACCTCTACTCACTGACTGACTAATCTTTCCTACTGTTTTATGTAATATCATTTCTCAAAATATTAATTTTACTGGTAAAGCACTTTCCCTTTTACAGCAAAGAATTTCAAGTTGAAGGTCTTATTCTCTTTTCCTCTAAGGCCATTTTACACTTTTCTAGCAAAGAAAGAGGCATAAAGTATCTTTATGTTACTCATTAAGGTCCCATATATTATTCATTAGTGGCTAAAGTTGATTTTTAAAATTATGTTTAGCTATCTTCTCAACACAGTGTGCATGAGTCTTTTCTGTCCCTTTGTCAGAACTAGAGGTCATTGTGTTGGGATGATGCAAAGGCAAACTTGCATCACCTGTAAATACACCAGGCAAGGGTTAAGCTAACTGACTCAGGCGTCAGAAACTATCTAGCTATGACAGCACTTAAAATATTAAAAATACCTCAGAAGGGGAGTTTAGCAGAGCAGTGGAATGGACAGTTTTCCCCACTGGATCTGCTAATTCAAAGCAGCAACAGTGTTTGTTGGTAGTCAGCTCCTAACTTGGACTCTAGCAAGCATGCAGTCTATCTGGCTTACTTTTAGCTATGAATTTTTTCAATAGTCCATCTTGGTTCCCCCCAAATAATCTCCAAGGATTTCACTCTGTGGGGGAAAAACACATACTTTTTTTTTTTTTTTTTAAACACAGTTGCAGTTTCAATCAGGAGAGGCGCCTGAAATTAGCTCTTCTGCAGAATGGAAATTCCACTCCCCATACACCTCTGACTGGGAGGGTTTTGTTATCAAACATTTTAGGACTTTGATATCACATAAAAGGTACTTCCCAAGGTACAAGGAGAGGCAGGGGTTATTGCATTGGCAGGCATTTGTAGTGTGTCGCGGCTGAGGCGGGCACTGCAGCCCTGGTGGAAGGTTGGCTTAGAAACATCCAAATTAATCTAATGACATGCTGGTATTTACCTCACTTTTGATTCAGTCACTTAAAACACACTAATACAATTCTGGATGTTTCTGGTGAAGGGAAATACATTGCTGAGCAGTTTCCTGAGCCTTCCAGCTCCTAGTGTCTTTTTCTGTACTGGCTCTCTGAGACTGAAAGGTTTGTTCACTAACCTGCAGCAACCACTGGCCCTGAAACTTTGGGACAGATTGTGCTACCCCCTTTACTCGAGCACTGCCCAGTACAGATACTAACCAAACAACTGCATGGGTGTGAAAGGCAAGGTGCCGGAGAGCAGCGGTAGGTGCAGCTGGACTCCCTGCCAAGGGCTCCCTGTCCTGTTGTCGTTAGGACCCACTAAAACCCATTGGGCTCCAGGTTCAGTCTGTGCGTGTCTGAGGCAGACCTGTTCCATTTGTACGAGGAGCTTAGAAGGATGAGCATTGCTGCTTCTCTACAGAGCCCCACCCTGCTTATTGATTTTGATTTTGCTCTGCATTTGATGGGGGCTGAAATCTAAAGGAAGGTGAGTCTTGTGCCTGTTGTTGTCTATTAGTATGCTATTCTTATCCTAGGTTACCTTAGCAACTGGGCTGTATTTGACTTTATGAGCTACTAGATTTGTTTCTTCGCCTTCAGGATTCTGAGGAAAACCCAGGTAATGTTTAAACCATTCAGAGGCACATCGTCTACCACTGTATTGGTTTGGCCCCTAAAACTATCGACTGCTCTTGGAATGAGGGCAGGCAAGATTCCTACCCTGCCAAAGTCATGAAAAGAGATCTACCTCCAGCTTTGCTTCTGACTTGCCTCAGCCCCTCAGTGTGCCACATATCCGGAGAGTACAAGGGCATAGCATGAACCCTGCAGATTTGTAGCAAGCCACATATAAGCAACTTCTCAATAAAAAGTCTGAAGGCCAAAACTGAGAATGTAGTCCCCTGTTAAGAGCACATCAGGTCTGAATGACTCACATTCTACTAAAATCTACAAAACATCTATGCAATCTGCACTTATAATGGGCATAGGCTATGTGCTAGCTCTGAGCATGGGGAGGTCTTCCACCCAAAGCTCTGTAAGGATAGTAGTTTGGTTGTTTTTTGTGGGGGGAGAGGTTGGAGGGAGAACAAGACCAGGGATTATCCTCCTGCTTAAAAAAATCTTAAAAATCATTAAAAAATGCTTAAAACTTAATCACTTCTCATAAACTTGTGTGGGAGGGG